AAAAAAAAAAAAAAAAAAAAAAAAATCCATCCTAGAGGAAAGACCAAGTTTAGCTTAAAGAGTTAGCCACAGAGATAGAAATATAGGATGGTTAAAAAAAAAAAAAATCTAGGAAAAATACAGTTGATTTCCTGCATGAAAAGTCCAGACAGGTTTCTATTGATTAAACTCCATCCTTCCCAGATTCCCCTCAGTAATTATAACAAGATTTGATGAATATTGAACTCATGTCTTTAATTTTTTTTCATAGTTCATATTTTGTCATACTGTTAAATTCCAGTCAGGGGTTTGTGGAACTCCAAGAACCTAGAGCCAAAGGAGAAGCAAGCCACGGCAGCCATCTCTCATCACTTAGTCATCATTATTATTGTTGCCTTAAAACATCTGTCAGACTTAAACAAAGAAGAATTACATAGCCACAGATTTGATTAATCTAGGAGTGCCCTGATATAAATAAATAACAGTTGACATCACATGCTAAATTAAAGATGTCAGTCATAATCAGCAAGAAGTTCCATGTGAGCAGCACATTTACACAGAACTAGCCTCCTGCTCAAGGACCCTTTTATTCAGGTGCGGCACTTTCTGATGTCCCACCTTACTGGATCTCTAAATTTTTAGAATGCTGGAACTCTTGTTAAGAGTAATGAACTACATTAATTCACTCTAAAATGGGGCTCCAGTTGTGGAACAAGCATGGTAAAAGAAGAGAGAGGCACTGAAGGGGAACGTTTGACGGCATCTTCCCCAACTTTACCATATTGTAAGCCTAGCTTAGGTTCCTCAGTTTTGCTCAGCCAGTGTTAAGGGTACTTTTCCTCAGCCCTCTGTTTTTCAAGATGCTTGAGTTTTCTTTCGGGCTTTTTGAATTCAAGACCTATATCTAAAAGTCATGAGGTTTTCTTAAAACAGTTGATGGGAAATCACTCCCTCAAGCTTTATAGGTGCCCTGTCTTTTCTCAGCCCTTGTGTTCAAAAAGAAGTGTCCCCTCTGAAGGTGTGAGAGCAACAGGGATATGCTGCCCAAGAGAAATGTTATGCGTGGCCTCGTCATTTCTCTAAATCCTCTTTGTCTCAGAAAACTATTAGTATCTATGATTCAGGTCTCCATTTCTTTTGTTACCATTCTTTTTCACAAGTGTTTCTCCCATCTGTCCTTTCTGAGAGAGAAGCAAGAGTAGGGGATGTTTAATAGATACCTGTTGAATTTTTATCTCCTTGGCAGTGTCCTGGACAGTCCTAGTCGACTGGACGAGGAACACCGGCTTATAGCTCGCTATGCTGCCCGGCTGGCTGCAGAGGCAGGAAACATGGTGAGTAAATAGAGGATTCCAGTAGAGCAGCAGAAATTTGCATTACTTTATTTATTTATTTATCTTAATAGATTTATTTATTTATTTTTATTTATTTATTGGTTTGTTGGGTCTTCATTGCTGCGTGCAGGCTTTCTCAAGTTGTGGCGAGCAGGGGCTACTCTTCATTGCAGTGCATGGGCTTCTCATTGCAATGGCTTCTCTTGTTGTGGAGCACAGGCTCTAGGTGTGCAGGCTTCAGTAGTTGTGGCACGTGGGCTCAGTTGAAAAACTAAACATAAAACTACCATGCGATCCAGCAATTCCACTCCTGGGTGTATATCTGGAAAAAATGAAAACACTAATTCGAAAAGATACATGCACCCCAGTGTTCATAGCAGCACTATTTACAATAAGCAAGCCATGGAAGCAACCCGAGTACCCATCAACAGATGATAGGATTAAGAAGATGTGAAAGATATGCACGCATGTGCGTGCGCACACACACACACACACACACACACACACACACACACACACACACAGGAATATTACTCAGCCATACAAAAGAATGAAATATTGCCATTTGCGGGACTTCCCTGGTAGCGCAGTGGTTAAGAATCCGCCTGCCAATGCAGGGGACACATGTTCGATCTATGGTCCAGGAAGATTCCACATGCTGTGGAGCACCTAAGCCCACGCATCACGACCACTGAGCCCATGTGCCACAACTACTGAAGCCTGTGCGCCTAGAGCCTGTGCTCCACAACAAGAGAAGCCTCCGCAATGAGAAGCCTGCGCACCACAACGAAGAGTAGCCCCTGCTCGCCACAACTAGAGAAAGGAAAGCCCACGCGCAGCAACAAAGACCCCATGCAGCCATAAATAAATAAGTAAATAAATAAAAATATATTGCCATTTGCAGCAACATGGATGGACCTAGTGAATATTATGCTTAGTGAAATAAGACAGAGAAAGACAAATTCTATACAATATCACTTATATGTGGAATCTAAAAAATGATACAAATCAATGTGTATACAAAAACAGAAACAGTCTCACAGACATAGAAAACAAACTTGTGGTTACCAAAGGGGAGAAGGAGGCATGGAGGGACAAATTAGGGATATGGGATTAACAGATACAAACTACTATACATAAAATAGATAAGCAACAAAGCTTTACTATATAGCACAAGGAATTATACCTATTATCTCGTAATAACCTGTAATGGAATATAATCTGCAAAAACCCTGAATCACTATACTGTATACGTGAAACTAACACGATATTATAAATCAACTATACTTCAGTTTAAAAAAAAAGGAAGAAAAAAATGCAAATTACCAATATCATAAATGAAATAAGGGACATACTGCAGATCCTATAAACATTATAACGATGATAAGAATATTATGAACAACTTTTTGCCAGTAAGTTTGACAACCTAGCTGACGTAGACAAATTTCTTGAAAGATACAATTTAACAAAACTGACATAAGAATAAATAGAAAATCTAAATAGTCCTAAATCTGTTAAAGAAATTGAATTAATAGTTAACTTCAAAAATTCTAAGCTCAGGGACTTCCCTGGTGGCACAGTGGTTAAGAATCTACCTGCCAACGAAGGGGACACGGGTTCGCGCCCTGGTCCGGGAAGATCCCACATGCCGTGGAGCAACTAAGCCCGTGTGCCACAGCTACTGAGCCTGCGCTCTAAAGCCTGCAAGCCACAAATATTGAGCCCGCGTGCCACAACTACTGAAGCCTGCATGCCTAGAGCCCATGCTCTGCAACAAGAGAAGCCTCCGTGATGAGAAGCCTGTGCACTGCAATGAAGAGTAGCCCCCGCTCACTGCAAGTAGAGAAAGCCTGTGTGCAGCAACGAAGACCCAACGCAGCCATAAATGAATAAATTAATTAATTAATTAATTAATTAATTAAAATTCTAAGCTCAGATGGCTTAATTGTTGAATACTATCATATGTTTAAGGAAGAAATAACAGTCATAACAATCTGGCACAAACTTTCAGAAAATAGAGAAAGAAGTCAAATTATCAGGCCACTATAACCTGATACCAAAATAATACAAGGGCATTACAAGAGAAGAAGGTTGATGACCAAGTTCTATCATGAACACAGATGCAAAAATCCTTAACAAAATATTAGCATATTGAATCCAGCAATATGTAAAAAGGATAATACTCCATGATCAAGTGAGGTTTATCCTAGGAATGCAAATTTATTTAACACATGAAAATCAGCCTATGTAATTCACCATATTAGCAATTTAAAGAAGAAAATTGTAATATTTCAATAGATGCAGACAAAGTTTGTCAGAATACAATGCCCATTTTTGATAAAACTTCTCAATACCATAGGAGTAGAAGAAACTCCTTTAACCTGGTAAAGAACACCTACAAAAACTCTATAGCTGGGCTTCCCTGGTAGCGCAGTGGTTGGGAGTCCGCCTGCCGATGCAGGGGACGCGGG